TCCCCATTCCTGGTGTTGCCATTCCCATTCCCAGCCCCCCTGACCCTATGGATGAGGGTGAATCCTGCCAGCTCCAGCTCCATCCGCTCCTTCAGCCTCAGCTCCTTGTCCAGGTTCTGCCTGTGCCGCTCCTCCTCCTCCTCCTCTGCCGAGAAGATCCGGATCGTCTCGATGGCGGCGACGGATTCCTGGACCCCTGAGGCCGTCTGGGCGGATGCTTCCAGCATGGATCGCTGCAGTGCCTGCGGAGGCACGGGGGGTGCCCAGCTTTCCCAGACTACTCTCCTGGCCCACCATCCACATCCCGTCCCCAGCAATCCCATCCCATCACACCCATCGCAAACTCACAATTCCATTCCCACCATCTCGCACCTGTGGTCTCCCTCCCATCCCCACCATTCCCATGCCATCATGCTATCCTTCCCACTTCCCATCCTGCCATCTCATCCTATCTCCCAGTCCCCATCTCACAATCCCCATTCTCACTCTCCCATCCCACCCCCCCCCATTCACATTCCAAACATCCCATTCCTTTGGTCACCTTCCCCACTCCCATCTCTCTGGTCCGCATCCAACCATCCCATCCTGTTCCATCCTGTTCCATCCTGTCCCATCCCATCCCATGCCATCCCCATCCCATCTTGTTCCCATCATTCCTATCCCAACTGTGCCATCCCGTCTCTTCTACACCATCCCGATCCCACCATCCAGTCCTCCCCAGTACGCATTCCACCATCCCATCCCCCCATTCCATTCCATTCCCACCATTCCCATCCCATCTCTTTTCTCATCCCACTGTCCTGTCCCCTCTGTCCCATCCTGTCTCCATCCCACCTGATCCCATCCCATCATCCCATCACCTTGGTCCTCATCCCAGCATTCCCATACCCACCATCCCCATCTCATCCCATCCCACCCCACCATTCTGTCCCATCTCCATAGCCTCATCCCACCACTCCCAAATCCACCAATTCTGTGCAGTCTCTTCCCTGTTATCCCTGCCCTATCCCCACTGGCCCATCCCCTGATATACACCCCATCCCACTATCTCATCCTATTCCACCCCATCCCTCTGTCCCCATCCCACCATTCCATCCTGTCCCCATCCCAGCATTCACACCATCCCATCCCATCCTAACTCATCCCCTGTCACATGATCCTGCTCTCCATCCCATCTTCACCAACCCATCACATCCCATTCCATCCCATCTCCATCACTCCATCCTGCCCATCTCCAGCATTCCCATCATATCATCCCATCCCGTACACCCAGTTTCAATCCCATCCCATCCCACCATTCCCATCCCCACCATCCCATTCCCCTGCTCTCCATCCCACCCCCACCATTCCCACTCCATTATCCCACCTCTGTGTCCCCTTTCCACCCCTCTCCTCCCATATTCCCAACCTGTTTCCGGGCACTGTGGATGCGGCGGGTGGTGATTCCGAGGGGCAGCTCCAGCAGTGCCAGCAGTGCCAGCCCCGGTGCCAGCCATACCATGGCCATCCCCACCACCAGCGCCATTCCCAGGCTGCGGAGCAGCAGGTTGGTTCCCCTTGGCACTGCCATGGACACCAGCGGCACCTCCGTGGAAAACCGTGCCGAGAGCTCGGCTGCGGGGCAGGAAAGGAGATTGGGATCATGGGGGGCGGACATGGGATGGGAATGGCAGGGCAGGATGGGACAGTTGGGATGGGATAGCAGGAATGGAGATGGTGGGATGGGATGACAGGATGAAGGTCAGGATATGGAATGGGATGGCGAGATGGGATAATTGCGGGGACAGGATGGGATGGGGACTGGGAGGACAGGATGATGGGAAAGGGGATGGTGGCAACGGGAATGGTGGGAATGGACTGATAGGGATGGGACAGTGGGGATGGGATGGTGGGATGGGAATGAGAATGAGGACAGGGCAGTGGGATAGGATAGTGGGATTCGGAGAGGATGGTAGAATGAGACTGGGAAAATGGGATAGGATAGAAAGGGATGGGATAGTAAGAATGGGAATGAGGGGAATGGGATGGTGGGATGGGATAATGGATGGGTGGGGTAGGATGGGATGGGAACTAGCATAATAGGATGATGGGGAAAGGATGGAATGGTGGGATGGGGACTGGAGTCATAGGATGGTGGGATGAGACAGGTCCCATTACCTGCCGGCATTCCCTGGAAGAAATCCAGGTCCTGGTGCACCAGGTGGGAGAAGAGCTGGAGGCGCAAGCTCTGCCGGAGATGCGCTGCCGCCAGCAGGAAAAGCCACCCACGGCACCCAGAGAACAGGACACTGGGAGGACACGGTGACATTGGGGACGTTGGGGACATGGGGACACGGCCATGGACACCAGGAATGCCATGACCCACCTGGCTGCTTCGGCGGCCACCACCATTCCAACAGCTCCAGCGGTGAGTCCATCCCTGTTCCTGATGGCGTCCAGCACCTTCCCGGTGACGTACGGCCCCGCCGTCTCCCCTGGGTGTCACCAGGACCGTGTCACCACCGCTGGCATGGGGGGACCCGATTGTGGGGGCAGGACTCGATTGAGGGAACAAGATGTGATTTGGTGGCAGTGGGAGACAATTTCAAGGGGTCAGGACTCAATTTTGTGGTGTCAGTACCCAGTGTAGGGATTTGAGACCAGATTTAGGGGTTCGACACCTAATTTTGGGAGTTCAGCACCCAATTTTAGGGGTCAGGACCCAATTTCTGGGGGGTCAAAACCCATTTTTGGGCATCAGACCCTAAGTTTGAGGATCAAGACCCAACTTTGTGGGGGTTAACACCCAAGTTTGCTTGGTCAGGACCCAATTTTTGGGTAGTCAGCACCCAGTTATGGGGGCGTCACCACCCAATTTTTGGGTGGTCAGCTCCCAATGTAGGGGCTCAGCACCCAACTTTGGGATGGTCAGCACCCAGTTATAGAGCTCAGCAGCCAATTCAGGGCAACGAACAGCCAAGTTTGGAGGTCCAGGATCCAATTTTTGGGGGCCAGCTCCCAATTTTGGGGTGGTGAGCACCCAATTTGGGGGATCAGCTCCCAATTTGGGGGGGGTCAGCTCCCAATTTGGGGGGGGTCAGCTCCCAATTTGGAGGTTGAACACCCAAGTTTGGAGTGGTCACCACTCAATTTAGGGAGTCAGCTCCAAATCTGGGCGTTTAACATCAAATTTAGGGGCTCCACACCCAACTTTCGGGTGGTCCCTGCCCAGTCTGGAGGGAGTCAGCCCCCAGTTCGGGGCTGCAAGGCTCAATGAATGGGGGGTCAGTGGCTGTCCCCACGTGCCCTCACCCTCCCCGCACCGTCACTCACCAGTGGCCGCCAGCACGAGGCAAAGGAAGGCGGCTCCAAGGACTTTCCACTCAGACCAGGCCAGCGCCAGGACCCTCCGGAAGGCAGCAGGAGCCCTGGGGACACCGTCGGGGGTCTTGGGGACACCGGGGGAGGCCTCAGGGATGCTCCCGGGCATCAGGGGCGTGGCCCAGCCCAGCAGGGCCAGCGCAGTGGCCGCGTGGGTGACCCCGAGCCAGGCGGGCACCGCAGCCGCCAAGAGCCCCGGCCCGGCCCCAGGCGGCCCCAGGAGGCTCCGGAGGGTTCCGAAGGCCGCGGGGGTGGCGGCGGCGGTGACGGCCGCCGCGGTGGCTCCGGGGGGCCGGTGCGGGGTCAGGAGCCGGGGGGCTGCAGCCAGGAAGGGCAGGCGCAGGGCGGCCTCGAGCCACACGCCCGCCACCCCCATGGGCGCCAGGGCCGGCACCAGCGGCCCCAGTAACACCAGTGCCAGCGCGTCAGCCACCAGCAGCACCCCGGGGAGCAGCGCGGCGGGCGGCAGTGCCATGGTGGAACTGGCACGGACCAGTGCTCCCGGTACGGCTTCCAGTGCAGCTCCTGCGCTGGGCTTCGGCAGCCTATGAACTCACCAGTTAACACCAGTCAGGATTTGGGGGCTCACCGGTCCACACTAGTGCTCCCAGTCCAGCCCCCTGACCTCACCAGTCCACACCAGTTCTCCGCATATGGCCCCCTCAGTCCACACCAGTGCTCCCAGTAAAGCACCCAGACTCCTCCAGTCCACACCAGTGCTCCCAGTACAGCTGTGCCAGTTCCCCAGTCCACGCCAGTACTCCCAGTCCAGTTCTCTGAGTCCACCAGTCCACAGTGGTGCTTCCAGTACAGCCTGAGATACTCCCTGGTCCCCATCAGTACTCACAGTCCAGACTGGGGTGCTCCCCAGCCCACACTAGTGCTCCAGTCCAGCCCCCTCAGCTCCCCAGTCCACACCAGTGCTCCCAGTATAGACTGGGGTGCTCCCCAGCCCACACCAGTGCTCACCATATGGCCCCCTGAGCTCCCCAGTCTACACCAGTGCTTCCAGTACAGACTGGGGCACTCCCCAGTTCCCATCAGCGCTCCCAGTACAGACTGGGGTGCTCCCTAGTCACCAGCAGTGCTCCCAGTACAGACTGGGGCACTCCCCAGTCCACACCAGTGTTCCCAGTACAGACTGGGGCACTCCCCAGTCAACACCAGTGTTCCCAGTACAGACTGAGGTGCTCCCCAGTCCACACCAGTGTTCCCAGTACAGACTGGGGCACTCCCCAGTCAACACCAGTGCTCCCAGTTCAGACTGGGGTGCTCATCAGTCCACTACAGATTTGGGCACTCCCCAGTCCACACCACTGCTCCCAGTACGGCCCCCTCAGCTCCCCAGTCCACACCAGCGCTCCCGGTATGGCCCCCTCAGCTCACCAGTGCTCCCAGTACAGACCGCTCAGCTCACCAACCCACACCAGTGCTCCCTGTTCTGCCCCCCAGAACGCTCCGCTAAAATTTCTTCCGAGACCACGCCTCCTCCCGCCCCGGCCCCGCCCCGTTCCGCCCCGGCCCCGCCCAGACCCCCGCCCCCTTTTTGCCCCCTCCCCCTCCTCTTCACAACCTGCTCCGGCTTCCTCTGCCCGGTAACCGATGACGTAACGGGACCACTAACCAGTCAGCGCCGCCATCGCGAGCTGTGGGCGGGGCCAAGCTGGGGTTCCCGGGGATTCCCGGGGCGGAGTCTCCGCTGACCCCGCCCCCGCCCCGCGCGCCTTCGGCTTTCCGGGAAACGGCGGCGGCTACCGGGAAAGGAGCGGGGGGACTGGGGGGACTGGGGCGGGCTGGGGCACCGGGATACACCGGGACACGTCGGGATACGCCGGAACCACGACCGGGACCTGCCGGGAGCAGAACGGGGACCACCAGGGACCCTCTGGGACCCACCGGGAGCAGAACCGGGACCCACCGGGAGACACAGGGACCAGAACCGGGAGCCACCGGGAGACACAGGCACCAGAACCGGGAGCCACCGGGAGACACAGGCACCAGAACCGGGACCCACCGGGAGCAGAACCAGGACCCACCGGGACCCACGGGGACTCACCGGGATTCACCGGGACCCACTGAAAGCAGAATCAGGACCCACTGGGACCAGACCGGGACCCCTCCGCGCCCCCCGCCCCCCGATGTTGTCCCCCACCATCCGCCGGCTCCTGGCCCTGCTGCGCCCCGAGTGCGGGCAGTGGGCGCTGGTGGGGGTGCTGATGCTGGCCTCGGCCCTCGGTACGGGGGGACCCCTATTCGGGGGGGGCAGGACCCGATCTGGGGGTCAGGGCCCAATTTTGGAGGGGCAGGGCCCGACTGGGGGAAGGAAGGAGCCGACTGGGGGGGCAGGACCCAGTTTGAGGGGTCAGAACCCAATTCCGGGGTCAAGACTCAATTTAGTGGGTCAGGACCCAATATGTAGGGGGTCGGGACCCAATATGTGGGGGGGCAGGACCCCTCTGGGGGGTGACAGGGCCTGATTCGAGGGGTCGAGACCCAATTTTGGGGAGGCAGGACCCGATTTTGGGAGACCAGAAACCAATTTGGGCAGTTGGAACACATTTTTGGCTGGTCAGGACCCGTTTTGGAGACAATTTTGGCAGGTTGGGACCAAATTTTCAAGGGTCAAGAACCGGTTTGGGGGGTGACACTCAACTTTAAAGAGTCAGACCCAATTTAGTGGTTCAACACCCACTTTTCAGGGGTCCACAGCCCATTTTGTGGTGCAGATCCACTAGGGAGTCACCACTCAATTTAGGGGCATCAGGACCCAATTTCAGGGCTCAACATCCAGTTTTCAGGGATACATACCCAATTTTAGGTGTGCAGGACCCAATTTGGGGGCCATTACCCAACGTAGGGGATCAGCACGTAATTTTGGGGGGTCAGGACCCAATTTTGGGTTCAGTTGTGTGGGGTCAGGTGCAAATCTGGTGGGCCAATCAACCAATTTTAGGGGCCAGGACCCAATATCGAGGGGATCAGCACTCAATTTTGGGGCTCAACACCTAATTTTGCAGGGCCACACACCCAAGTTTAGGGAGTCAGGACCCAATTTGGAGGGTCAGCACCCAATTTTCAGGGGTCAACACCCAACTTTGGGTTCTCTGGACCCAATTTTGGAAGTTCAACCCCCAAGTTTGGGGTCTTAGCCCGCAATGGAGGGGGTCAGGACCCAATTTCAGAGCTCAACCCCCAATATTGAGAGTGGTCAGTACCCACTTCTTGGGGCTCAGCCCCCAAGTCAGGGGCTCCCCACCCACTGTCGGAGTGTCCCCACAGGCGAGGTGGCAGGCCCGTACTTCACGGGCCACATCACTGACCAGGTGACACAGGAGGACACGGCGGCGACCATGTGGCTCTTGGTGGTGCTGGGGCTCGGCAGGTGGGTGACTGCAGGGGCGGGGGGACACCCCGAGGTGGCGATGCCCCGCGGTGCCCCCTGACCCCGCTGTCCCCACAGTGCCCTCACCGAGCTGGTCTGTGACAGCACGGCGGCCGTGGCGCTGACGCGGGCGCGGGCGCGGCTCCAGCGTGGTGCGGTGGCCGCGGTGCTGCGGGGGGACGTGCCCGGCCCGGGGGGCAGCCTGGGGGACACGCCGGGTGCGGTGGCCGCGCGGGTGACGGGGGACGCGGAGGCGGCGCACGCAGCACTGGCCGAGGCAGTGGTCCCAGCGCTGTGGGCGCTGGCCCGGGCCGGGGCCCTGCTCACCGTGATGGCCTCGCTGGCCCCGCTGCTGGCCCTGGTCACCCTCCTGGTGCTGCCCCTCCTCCTGCTGCTACCACGTGCCATCGCAGGCATCCAGCAGGTACCGAGAGGGACACAGGGACTGCGGGTCCCTTGTCAGCTCCCTTGGCCCCTTGTCACATGTGTGTCCCCAGTGTCACCTCCCTGCACCCCCTGTCCTCTCCCTGGGCCCCTCGTCATCTCTCCAGACTCCTCATTACTTCCCTGGGCCTCTTGTCACCTCCCTTTGTAACCTGTACCTTTGTCCCTGCACCGCGGTCACTCTTCTGGGCCCCTTGTCACCTCCCTCCAGCCCATGTCACCTCCCTGGGCCCCTTGTCCCCTCTCTGCACCCCTCGTCACTTCCTTGTACCCCATGGCACCTCCCAAGGCCCCTTGTCATCTCCCTGGGTCGTGTCCAAGTCCCTCCTGTCCCCTCCTGGTGCCTGTTGTCACCTCCCAATGCCCACTGTTACCTTCTTCTGTCCCCTGTGCCCTCCCTGTCTCCCCATCTGCATGGTGACCTCGAGGTGACCTCCCTGTCTCCAGGGTGACCCCCTGTTCCCTCTGTGTCCCCCCATGATCCCATGCAGTGACCCTGCAGTGACTCCGGTGTAACCCCCGTGTGCTTTCTGTAACGCCCCGTGACTCTGTGGTGACTCCTCTGTCCCCTCCCTGTCCCCACCCTGTCCACCCTCTGTGCCCTCCAACCCTGTGGTGACCCCCTGTCCCGTGTGTCCCCAGGACCTGGCGCGGCGGGCGCGGGCGGCGCTGGCTGATGCCACCGCGGTGGCCGTGGAGTCACTGGGGGCCCTGAGGACCGTCCGGGCCTTCGGATATGAGGCCGGAGTGACCACACGTGTCCAGCAGCGCCTCAGCCACAGCCACCAGCTGGAGTGTGGGGAGGCCCTGGCCTATGGGGCCGGGCGCTGGGCCAGCGGGGTATGGGGACACTGGGGGGACAAAGGGATGGGGGGCACAGGGGAATGAGGAACAGTGGTATGGAAACAGAGGACGTGGTGGCAGGGGTATGGGGACATGGGGCTGGGGGACGCAGGAATGGGGGAAATGGGGGTGAGGGTGGATAGGGGCGAGGACAGGGTGGCAGGGGGCCCAGGGACATGGGGCATGGGGACATGGGGATGGGGATGTTGGGTGTATTGGCAAAGGGCCAGAGGACATGCGGACATGGTGATCCAGAGATAGGGGACATGCAGATGGGTGGCACAGGGCTGGGGGACATGGGGACAGGGTGGCATTGTAATAGGAGACATGGGGACGTGGCAGCAGGGAGCTAGGGGACATTGGATGCGGTGGCATGGGGATGGGGACATGGGGACAGGGAACACAGGGCTGGTGGACATGGTGGCAGGGGGCTGGGGGACATGAGGACATGGGGTTATGGGGATAGAGGGTATGGAGACAGGGGACATGGGGACACAGGGATGGGTGGCACAGGGATGGGAGATGTGGTGACAGGGGGCTGGGGACACAGGGATGTGGTGGCATGGGACTGGGGGACACAGTGACATGGGGCTGGGGTGACCCCATGTGACCCTGTGTCCCCATGTCCCCAGTTCCCGACGCTGGTCATGAAGCTGGGGCTGCTCCTTGGAGGGGGACACTTGGTGGCTGCGGGGACCATCACCCCTGGGGAGCTGGTCACCATCCTCATGTGCCACCTGAACTTCACCCGGGCTGTGGATGTGAGGAGCATGTCCCCACTGTGTCCCCAGTCTATTCCCAATGTGTTCCCAACCTGTCCCTCCTGTGTCCCCAACCCATCCCCAATGTTTTCCCTGCTTGTCTCCAATGCATCCCCATTCTGTCCCCAACCTATCCCCAATGTGTCCCTGGTATGTCCCCAGCGTGTCCCTGTCCTGTCACCAGCCCCATTCCCCATGTCACTGTGTCCTCCCATGTCCTCCCACCATGTCCCCATGTCCCCACATCTTCCCAGCTGTGTCCCCATGTCCCCGTGTTCTCTTGGTCATGTCCCCATCCCTGTCCTCTCTGTCCCCACCCCAACCCTATTGTGTCCCCTCCGTGTCCTCAGATCCTCCCCATGTCCCCTCACTGTGTCTCAGTGTGCACCTGCCATGTCCCTACTAGGTCCCCCTGTCCCCATCCATGTCCCAATGCCTGTCCCAGCCATGTCCTCCCCAAGTCCCCAACGTCCACCCTGCCGTGTCCCCTCCATTTCCCCAATCCCTGCCATGTCCCTTTGCCTTCCTGGCTGTGTCCCTCCCTGTCCCCATGCCCATGTCCCCATGTCCACAAATCCCCCAGTGTCCCTGTGTCCCCAGGCCCTGCTCTTGTACCTCCCAGTCCTGGCCAAGGCTGTCGGCTCCTCCGAGATGCTCCTGGAGCTGCTGGACAAGGCCAAGTGGGGGGCACCTGTGGAGACACTGTCACCTGTCACCCCCCGGGGCCATGAGGCCTCCAGGATTCCAGGCCTGTGTCTCAAGGACGTCTACGTAACCTACCCTGGGCGGTCCGAGCCCGTCCTCAAGGTGACAGGGGGGCATGGGGGACATGGGGGGACAGGAGGGGACACAGAGATATTGGGGAAATGGGGTCCATGGGTCATAGAGAGGAGGTGGGGGAGATGAGGTACATGGGGGGACAGGGGAAGATATGGGGGGACACAGATGGGACATGGGGGCTGTGTGGGGATGTGGGGGGACATGGAGGAGATTGGAAGTTGTGGGGGGACATGGGGACACAGTGAGGATAGGGGGGACACGGTGAGGATATGGGGCGACGCGGGGGGACATGGCTACAGGGTGGGGACATGGGGACAGGGTTCACATGGAAGTGCTGCTGTGATCCCCGGTGCTATCCCCATTCCAAGTGTGATCCCCTCTCCTGGTGCAATCCCTATTCCTAGTGTGATCGCATTCCCGTTGCAATCTCCGTTCCCATTGCCATCCCTCTTCCTGCTATGATCCCATTCCTGGTGTGATCTTCAATCCCCTCTCCCGTTGTTCCCGGTGTGATCCCATTCCCAGTGCAATCCCCAGTGCCCTCTCCCATTGTTCCCGTTGCTCCCCGTGTGATCCCATTCCTGGAGCAATCCTCAATGCCCTCTCCCGTTGTTCCTGCAGTTCCCGTTGTTCCCGTTACTCCCGATGTGATCCCATTACCAGTGCGATCCCAGTACCCTCTCCTGCTGTTCCCATTCTCGCTGTTCCCATTCCCGGTGCGATCCCCAATCCCCTCTCCCGCTGTTCCCATTCCCGCTGTTCCCATTCCCGGTCCGATCCCATCCCCTCTCCCGCTGTTCCCATTCCCTCTGTTCCCATTCCCGGTGCAATCCCATCCCCTCTCCCGCTGTTCCCA